ATCCCTTCATACTAATGAGCTCCTGATTGCAAATGTAAAATCTTTTAAGAAAAAAAAAACATCAAAATAGTATACAAGGATTGAGGGTATGAGTGGGGGGATAGGGGGTAAGGTTTTTAAAGACAGGAAAAGGAGAAGAGGGAGAGAGAGAGAGAGAGAGAGAGAGAGAGAGAGAGAGAAGCATTAATGAAAGAGAATCATTGAGCGGCTGCTTCCTGCATGCCCCCCACTAGGGATTGAACCTGCAACCCAGACATGTGCCCTTGACCAGAATTGAACTGTGACCTCCTGGTTCAAAGATTGATGCTTAAACACTGAGCTACACCAGCCAGGTTCACTATTATGTTTTTTGACCTCCAGCAAAACCTTAACCTTCTCTGCATGCCTTTCTTCATCTGTCCACTGATGACAATGACGACACTTCTGATTAAATCACAGAATTATGGCGACAATATCCAAGAGTAACAAACTACTAGAGCGACATCACCTCTGCAGTATGACCCTGGTGAGCTCAGAGCGCATTTCATCTGTAAACTGTCCTCCTGCCCACAGCACACCTCACCCATTGCCACCCACAGAGCTCGCTCCCAGGAGAACTCCACCCATTTGTGCTGTTGCTGGGAATAGGATGGAACTGGAACCCAGGGCCTGTCTTTATTGCCACCTTTTTGGGGGACAGCAAACATGCAAGAATGGGTATAAGCCAAGGCAGAGACAGCACAACTTTGCGGCTCTGGAAATAAGAGCCCCAATGCTGGTCCTGTGGTTCCTGGCTCTCTAGAATCCCACAGTAACTGGAGAAATCACACTTCTCAGTGGATTTTTAACAATCTAACAGATTATTTCTCCCTTCCTAACTCACTATTTAGCTACTATTTTGTTCATGATAAGAGTTCAAAGTCTACACCCACTCATTCTTTTGCGAGTATTACTGCAAAAAGAACCTAAGTCAAATAATGAACAATACTTTTATACTTTAAATTCATTTAAACTATTAGGTGAATAAAAGTATATAAACTTGTCCAAATTTGATGGGGAGAGGAACTTACTCAGAGCAAAAATAAGTTATTCCAACTACAAAAGGAACAAACTTTATCCCCATTAAATAAGAAATTAACCTTTTGAAGCTCTTGGCACATTATGAAAATAAACAAAATACCTGAAAATATTTTGCATTATAACCCAGGACTATAAAAGGACTTGCTATACTGAAATAATTTGAATATAATATATGCTAAGGTTAAATCAAACAGGCAATCATAGCAAGAAAATAAGAGTTATTATCAATAAATTCATTGACAGTATTCTGGGAGAATTGTTTAACTACATTTTTAAAATGCTATTTAGATCGTTATTACAGTAAAAAATCTGGATAAACTAGAGATCTGAATTTCTATGGAAGTACTAGAATAAAATATAAATAAAGCTCTGAATGAGAAATGACTTTCCCATTTATAAAAATAAATATACAGGCTTGAGCCAGTCAAAATGAAAAATAACAGAAGGTCAAATTATTACAAATGAGATGTAAAGATAAACATAATATTGATAGGTTGTTTTATCATACCCTTGCTATTGAGAGAAAGGTACATAAGACAATATGAGAGCTATAACTTATTAACGAAAAGCTCTTAAAGAGTAGGTTGCTATTAAAGGAAGCCTGTGGTGAGATTGCCCATCACAAGTTCTTTGAGAAGCAAAAACTGCTGCAGCCTGCAACGAAAAAGAAATTGGTCTCTGTGTCACACCCTTTAACATCTGATTAATTGTTTTATTCCAAAGAAAAACTCAAAACTGTATAACATTTCTAACAGCAAAACGAAAATCTTCATTTCCCAAGAGTAGACAAACCAGCAAGACTCTGCAGCTGGGGTTGTCAAACTTCATTTGCATCTGAATTACCTGGTGGCTGAGCCCCACCCTCAGTGTCTGACCCTTTAGGCCTGGGTGGCTCCCAGAATTCACAGCTCTCCTGTGAAGTCTAAGATGCTGGTCTAGGGGCTACCCTGCATCTCATGGCTATGGGCAATGGAATGATGTAAAGAATCCCAAGGAAATGAAAAACTGCTGACTATAGATAGGAAGTGAAGTAAAATTTCAAAACCAGAATTCCTAATCGCACAGTTCTCAATCAAGTATGGAACTTACTCAGGAAAAAACAGCCTGCAAGGCAACAGCATGCCAACATTTTAAAGTGATGGTCTTCAGGGAATAGAATTAAAAGCAATTGTTTATTTAGACTTTTTGGTATTTTCCAAACTGTCTAAATGATATATTGCTTTTATTAATTGGGGGGAAAGGGGAAAATAGCTCAAAAATTTAAAGGCCTGCATGCTTAAAACAGAATAATCCTCCAACATTTAATGGTTATATTTAAAGTGCAGGCTGTAGAGAGCTACTTTGTAGAAAGGACCGCAGAACCTGTAAGAATTAAGTTGGCATTGTTTTTATTAAACTCTATTTTAGATGCCTGAAGTAGAAACCACTAAAAAGGATGGCCACTTATTTCACAATGTCCAATTATAGATACAAGTTTCCAATGCATTCTGTATTGTAAAATATGTTACCTCTTTCCACCTCTTCTGGTAATGTTTGACCTGCTGGAGTCAGATCTATTCACTCATTCATCTTTTAATACATTATATTTCAAGGCATGTGTATTGGTTCATCAGAATTTCAAATCCATGGGTTTATGTCTTAAATGAAGTTTTTGTTTTTTGTTATTAGGTCTGAGATATAACTCTCTTATTTATTTATTTACTTACTTTCAGTTTTATTTTGTATTGGTTTCAAGTGTATAGCTTGGTGGTTAGACAATCATATATTTTACATGGTGTTCCCCTGATATTCCCAGTATCCCAACTGTCATCTTGACTGGACAACCAATGGATCTGGGCTGCCTGTCACTACTTGAGACAATTAAGTAGAGATATATATATGAGCATTTATTCCAATAATGCCAGTAGGTCATCCACAAAAAATCTGCTCTATCCCTTCCCCTACC